CTTGTTCCTGACCTTCCAAAAAGGTTAAGCCATGCTTCTGTCATGTTCTTTAACTGATAAACCCAAACATTTTTTTTCTCACTTTAGAACAGAATTTGAATACAACAACAAACCCAGCCGAGTACCACACGACCTGAAAATAAAAAATTTTCGAAACATGTTTCCAATTTGGACAATTTACAAAACACAAGTGCTTCTCTTGGATGGACGGAAGAGAGGGATGATTAGTACCGAGTAGATTGAGATGAACAGAGAATTATTTCCTTTGTTTGGGGGAGTTGTAGGGAGGTGAAAGGGGGATGGGAGGCAAGGGGACATAGTTCCAATGCTTACTCTCATTCTAACAAGCTTTGTCTACACTCCTAATTGGGGTGTTGGAACGGGCAAGTTCTATGAAAAATTATCTTTTCTAAATTGTCTTTTATTAATGTTTCCAATACATGTGGAGGTTAGTTTTGTCACTTTCATCGTACAGACTTCAATCAATTACACTCCACAACTTATCCCCGACTAGGTGACTAAATAAGGGTGAGTAACCATTACACTTCCATTAGTTATCCATGTATTATATATCCATCCCGAGTGTTAGATATTTAAGAAGTCATATATTTTCATACAGAGTAATAGAGTAGAAATAAAACCAGCACACCAAACTTCTTTACATGTATGCAATATTTTCTTTTTGAAGTGATTTTTTTAAATACAAAGGTGGAAATGTTATCTAACGAACCCTAAGCTACCCTCATATATTGTGCAAGTCCGCATTGTCAATGGTATTCCGCTGACTACCATTAATATTTTATTAAATTGAAAACAGGCCAATAAGAATTTTATGCTCATACTTTTATTGATTGCATTTTTCTTGTGCAGGGCTTTGGTAGAAGTGAAGCCTGTGCTTTATCTGGCAGAACATGCACAAGCTCCACCCGAGGAAGTTACACAAGATCCACCAGTGATGCAAGAAGATTACTGGGGATTTCAGTATGAAACATGGCACGATCAATGCCTTCAGCAATGTAGCATTATGGGACAAATGTGTACTGCAGTTCTCTCTGTCACTGAAGATCTTGTTCAGAGAATCTGCTCAAAGTCCATCCCTGCAATCATCGGACATGTGGCCTTGAAGAACATCCATGAAAATGATGACCACTTAAAGAGAATTGCTCAGTTCTGCATCTTTTGCTTTGATAAGGTTCTCACGGAAAACAGTCTTGCTTGGGATGACATATTGGTTAGTTATTCTATTTTACTGAAATTCCTCTTTTGAAAAAAACTTCTAATTTGATTTATTTAGAGGAGTTGTACTTCCATGATCCTAAGGTCTACATGTGAAATATGGACCTTCTCACACTTTTAGTAGGCCGACATGGGAATCTTTTATTGTTTTTGAAGAACCCAATTCATCCACGGTGTTTATATACTAAGGTCCATAATATAAGAGTGGACCTTAGGACCACAGAAGAATTTACCTATTTTTTATTTGGAGTCTGTTTGGTGAGGCTAAGTTTTACTAAAATGACTTAATTTGATGGGTTTGTAGCTGAAATGACCGAATAATCCGTGTATTGTTTTTATATTTAAAATAAACTGAAGATCATAATATGTAAAGTATGAGTCTGCAAATGAAAGTCATCTCCTTTTTAGTAATCTTAGAAAAAAGTAGCTTTCACATGAATGTTCAATCAGCCTTTGCTGCTATTAAATTTAAATAGGAGCCTGCTTGGTAAGGCTTCTTTGGCTTACTCTTGTGGATTTATTTTCGGATTGGAGAAGTGTTTGGTCTACTAAGTGGATGTGCGCTTTCTGTGCTTTGGGTCTAATTGCTGATGTCTTACTTTGCTCTTTGTTACTTTGTTTACTTTGTCTGGGTGTCTGTGTTTGAGCCGGGGTCTCTTGGAAATTAGCCCCTCTATTTCCGATTAGGGGTAAGATCTGCATACACACATTATACACTTAACACTTCACACATTCTTTTTCCTCTTGCAGAGTTTCAGAATCTACTATGCAACGACATGTCTCAACATCTCCCATGGAGCAATCTTTCAGATCTTTGCTAATGTGTTTGATGAATTTGGCCAAATAAGGCATGGAGTGAATATCATGAATGAACACATCCTCAATCTCGTTCCCGTGGTAAGTATTGGAACCTCCGCATCGTCCATGGATGATATCATAACATGCGAGCTGATTTCCAGAAAATCATAGGCAATTATGTCGCACATTCGGTTTTGGGGCATTTTTCGTAACTCTTTCTAAGGTAGTTCCTCTAAAAAGCTTGTTTTCTTGTCCATCAGATAAGATGTTGGTATCCAGAACGAGTATGGAAGTTCTGTATGACTGTATCTCTCAAACATATCATGATCTCCATATATTGATATATATAAAACTAAACCCGAATGGCCGTGCTTGTTATGTGAAACAACACGACTTATGGAGCAACATTTGAATGTTTAGGCTAAGAGATTCGTTCTTATTTATTCAATATTAAAATAATATTTTCTTATATATTCTTTTGTTCCATAAAATTCTTTACAATTTGAATATTTTGGTCAAACTACTACATACTCTTGACATCAATACATTTAGTTTTAAATAAATAAATTTTGTAAAATTGAATATATCATAACTACATTGAAAATAATCCTACGAGTATTATTTAAAATAATCCTACGAGTATTATTTAACATTTAAATTACAACTGAATATAACTAAATATACGGAGCATTTTTTTAAAGCTGTCAAATTTTATAAATTAGGAAAAATTACCCAAAATAATCCCAACTTTACCCTGTCTTTCAAAAATAATCCCATCTTTCACTGTGATGCATAATAATCCCAACTTTATTGAAATTTGCCAATTTTGGGTCGCCGTTAAATTTCTAACGGAAAGTTAACGGAAATGCCCGTTTTAGACAACAAAATGAAAGTTGGGATTATTTTTGATGAATTTTTGTTTTTTAATTTTTTTTTGAAATTTTTTATTTAAATTTTTTGAATTACTTT